ATAGTTGGGACTAATGGAAATATGGATTTTTTAGAAGACATTTTTTTTTAGATGATGTAAAGAAAATTGTGGGGATGTTTTTCTTTTATATTTTTTATTTAGTCGGTATATGCTCTTGTTGTTTTGTTATTTTCTTTTTGATTTATGATTTTTTCCCTAAATGATGTATTTGTTTGGACTGTGAGTGTTTTTACGAATTGAATAATGTGAAATCTTTCCGTGAAATCCTGTAATTGGCTTTCTGGTGTTATTTTATTATCTATTTGTTTGCTATGTGTAGCTGTTGGTTTTCCAATTCATAAATAAATAAATAAATATATACATAGGCTATATAGCCTTTCTCTAATATAAGAAAGAACGATAAAAGAAATCCATTTGGATGGAATTAGTTGGATACGAAGAGCTGAGAATTAAGCTCAGGGGTCTAGGTCCAGCCATGGTTGGAAATGAGCCGATGATCATGATGGCGATGAAAGTTATAGATAGGTTTTATCGTCTTGTTTTGGTGTTTAAGGCATTGTTTCAACTTTGAACTTCAACAACACTTTGTCCGTCTTACAGATCCTGTGACCCTTGTACGCAGTAACTTTTTTTAACGTTGCACCACACGACCAGACCCGGAACAACAATCTATGGATCACACAAAGAGTTGCTCCGTGTGTGATTTGAACCCGCGACACGTTGCGCGGCAGCCAGTTGTCTAGCCACCACACCATTGTTGCAGTCAATCATTCTCATCATCTTTGTGAATTTTCAACGAAAACCTCAAAAAGCAACACCACAAACACCCTCAACATTTTCCCATCATCTAGTTAACTAAAAATAGGCATAAACACGTACGTAGTAGAGTCTATTAACGTCACCCCAAGCTCCCTGCGCTTGCGCACTCAATTGAGTGAATTCGCCTCTATTGAGCAGATTACGCCGAGGTTTGTACAATTACGGAGGGGAAACGGGGGAACTAGGGAGCAATTGTGTATACCTAAATGTTGAGAGGAATTCTTTAGATATATTGGTGATGAGGATTTCTGGTTTTTGGGAATAATTAAGGCTTATTTTCGTGAAAAATAAATAGATGTTAGAGTATGAGTACATAGAGAATGTAGTAGTGAGTAAAGAGAGTGTGAAAATAACATTTAAAGATAAATAAAATCGTTTATTAAACACAAAAACTTCCAAAAGATGTAACATTAGTGCAATGTTTACATTATTATACAATTATAGTAAAATATACCTCTAAATACTAATATCGTAACATAATTAAAATTGATTCTATATTAATTCGCGAATAGTGGAATTTCTCGGTACTAACTCCATTATAGACCTTATTTTCTATGTTTAGAGACTACTTTTGCACAAATCAATTTTGGGGATTTATATCAGGTGATTGTGTACGATTTAAGTCTTAGTATCTTCTGCCTATCACTTCCAAAATACGAGGTGTAATATTATGTTTTATTTTTAGAAATCCCAAATCTTGGGGGCCTGTTGAAAGCTATAAATAATTGTGAAAAATGTAGTTAATTAAATGATTACGGACAGCGCCTACGAGCGTCATTATATTATTACTGGTGCTTAGAGAATCATTATACTCAATCAAATTTGTTTGGGACCAAGCAGGAGACACCTGGCAGTTGGACTTTGAACTTTTGGAAGATATAGTTTAGGTTTAGATTGGTTTGTTTGGTCTAGTTTTGATAATGAGAATAATCTTCAAAATGCTGTACAATAGATCAAACGCAATAAAAACAGCAAGTAAATAAAACTTTTTGACTAATTTTAATGAAAAAGAATCATCAAGAACCTGATAATTAATTTGCACTTATAATTAAATTTTAAGATAAGTTAAAAAAGTAAAATTTCAGGTTTCCGAAATAAAATTTGACTAATCTCATCGATGATTTTAAAAAAGGAATCAGTCCAGAACGATTGGCATTTGTTTTCAAAAGCGGGCTTTCTGCGTGTAGAAGACAATAAGACAATATGAACAGAGCAATAAAAGTCTATACACGCAATACAATCTGTGTACTTCTCTAGCAAAAACAGAGGTTATACTGTACCTACCATTAAACATAATTAATGATCTTTCGTCAGTTGAATATTTTATCGTCTCTAAACGCCTAAAGCACACACGTTTGTACTCAAATACTTAATAGATAGACAATTTCACGAACTTTCTACTTACACTTACAAAACTCACTTAATGACAGTTCAGTGTACTTTGTAAACAAATATTTGTGTGAAATCGTTAATTAAAAACCAGAAAATAACCGAAAGAACGATTGTACTCAGAATAAATTAGTATTGTGTCATTTTTCACGCGAGTGTGTAAGAATGTGGGACTTTTTTGATAACTGTAGTAGATATGCTAAGAATATCCGATATTTGTAAACGCATATGATTATCGACACTGTTAAACTCTTTGTTTACATTAATAATGAGGTTTTTTTTAAAGAAATTGTGTGGGAAGTCAAACTATTGAGTGTTGTGAGTCCACGAAATGCCGTTGTGTGTTTTTGGCGGTAAACAAGATGTTCTATAGACTAGATAGAGATTGTCTATGATTTATTCAAGTTTTTTTGGGGATTTATAACTTTTTTAAATGTTTTTGTTAATAAATCAATGGTAGTAGTGATGCGTCGTGATGTCTAGTGCTGTTACCCGTTAATTAAATATAATTTATTTTTGAAAAGTTACGTCATTTTAGTAGCTAATTTAAATTAAACGGTGCAGTTGTGTTACTGGTTTTCGTTGCATCGATGATTTATTTTTAAAATCCGTAACTAATTATGAGCTAGATTTGTCTTCACTTTGACCGTCTAGGTTTTAGTATGTTTTTTAAGATTTCTTTTCAGTTCTCGGATTGATAATAGATTTTCTAGAATACCAAATTAGACTAGATAGAAAAACAAGATTTAGAAGGTGGTTTAAATACTACAGTAGAAAAAACTACCCCAAACTATAAAATAACTTCAATACAATGTCAACTTTACCATCTTATTCCTAAAATCACAAATCAATTGCAATAACTTCACAAGTTTGAATACCTTGACATCCTAGTTCACACTTCATAGTCTCTAAGAAGGCACACTACTGGCACGCCACCTGTCATTGGAGACACGAACTAACCGCGCTCTAGGAATACATTATCAGGCTAACACTAGGATATCATCCAGTCATTAGGTCTATTGTTTATTCAACCATTGCTTCGCCACAGGTGTGGTTGTTATAGGCTTTTGTATGTTGTTTATTGTAGGTTTCTATGACTTGTGTTGGTATAGGAGATCTAGTCTCAATTTGATAAAATTTGCGAATTTTATATAGCATAAGCCGGTAATCGATCAGACGGATCATCTGACGGTAAGCAATCGGGGCCGCCCATGGATACCCGAAACACCAAGGCGTTACAAGTGCGTTACCGGCCTTTTGGGAATTGGGAATTTGAGGATTGTGGAGGATTCGGGGATTCGGAAGACTAGGGAGGGGGGGGAGGGTAATTGGGCCTCCGGTAACCTCACTCACACGACGAAATACAACGCAAGCATTGTTTCACTTCAGTTTTCTGTGAGGCTAAAGATATGAACAAGATAATATTATGGTTGATGGACAAAACCTGCCAACAGCAAGTATCAATGTGACTTTTTCCGAGTTATATATACTTTCTAAGATTATCTAGACACCACTGACAAACGGTGAAGGAAAACATCCTGAAGAAACCTAGACTTATGGTTTCTAATTATAAGTTTATAATCACCAACCCGCAATGAGCAAGCGTGGTGACTAATACTCAAACCTTCTCCGTGTGAGAAGCTTTGCTCAGCAGTGGGCATTTATAGGCTGTTGACGGTGGACAAAAACAAAAATTGAACTTATATACACCTGTATCTGTATCTACGTTAAAAAATACGTAACATATTGTTTGTATGATTCAAGTGACAGTCACCAATACCTAACCCAGTTTACATTTTAGTTCTAACTTTCGAATTCTGAAACCTAGATCCTAATTGTTACTAACACACTTCAGTGACATTTAGCAAGCTAGGAAACTAACTAAACATCCTAAATAACCTAGTTTTGTTGTTACCTCATGTTTAACTCAGTAATAATGGGTTAAGAATAAACTGCGTTTTAGGAATAGAAGGCAAACGAGTAGACGGATCACCTGATGGTAAGCGATCTGTGCCGCCTATATAGGACACCCGCAACACTAGAGGAATCACAAGTATGTTGCCGGCCTTTTAAAAAGGAATACGCTCTTTTATTGAAGGTTTGAAGGTCATATCGGAACGCAAATGCCGCCGATAGATTCCACAGTTTTGCTGTGCGAGGCAGAAAGCTACGAGAACAGAGAAGCGCACAGTGGTATTTACTTTGACCAACATTTATTGTAAAATTATTGAATTTTGAAAAGATATTCAAACGAGCTGGGATCCATTCCGCTACCACTGATTGGCCATGTTGGTGGTCTATTTGATTATTGATTATTAAAAGTAAGAAATGTTGGTAGATAAAGAAATTACACTTTTAACTTTTTGAGTTTAAATAAGCTGTCTGTTGGTACTATTAATAGTTTTTATTAGTTTTGCGTCACTATAACAGATAAAAGGCGATTATATTCAATTTACATTGTAGGTCAGACATTTTTATTCGATATTTTTGATAAATAGTGATCTAGATTCCATTAATATAATCCATTTATAAATATCGCGTAAAATTAATTCGTAAATCACTCAAAAACTAAACATTTATTTATTTATTATAATTTATAGTCAAGTTATAAGGTGAAAGCACCAATTATCGTCCACGAATCCAAAAAATCGAATTATACTTTTTATTAAAAAGGATTTTCAATTTTTATTTTTATGTGTATAATAAATCATTTGCGAAGTAATCGTTCTAATAATACTAATAAAATTCCTACGGTTTCGATATTATTTCGTGAATGATACGGAGAGTAATTAAAAAAGTCGTAAGATGTTTTTTTTTTCGTTTTTACTCACCGCTCGCCTGCAGTTTTCTTTCTTGAGAATCATCCGCATCCATTGATGATTGCTTTTGGAAGAAACCCTAAAAAAAGAAAAGTTTTATATTTTTAATTGATACTCTTTTTCGGGGTATTTAAATTTTGATGTCTTTTCACGTTTGGATTTGTATGAATCTTTAATTATAACTAAAACATCATTACCTTTTTAACAGATTAAACTACGTACGTTTTAAGTCTAATTTAAATTAAAATCAACAACTTTATCGATTAAAATTCTTAGTCACAGAACTAAGTCTAACCTATGTCTTATTTTAGTAATAGAATCATTTTGTGTCACCGCAGGACTAATACTATCTATTACTGGAGAATAATAACACAATACAATCACACCTCTGCCTATCCTTTACTCTAACAGGTGGTATATTAAATCAGTTGCTAAGTTAAACAGTTTTATTTACAAAACGGAAATGCGAAACTAGTTTTAAAACGTTCAATTTGTATCTGTTGTTTTTTTCTCACAAAGTAATTTACATAATCTCGTCTCTATTCATCTTTGATCTAACAATTTTATTGTATAAACAGATCCATTAAATAGTACAATACAATACACACCTGCATTTGTAAATTAGCTAGATCCTCTAAATTTTTCCTCATCAGAAGATTTTGTTGCTCAAATTCTGAAACACTGTTGGCGGCGCTCGAGGTCGCCGATTGTTCCTACAGAACAAAAAAACATCGTTATCAATTCTTATATCTAATTTTACATTCTATTATAATCGCATACCATTCATACAAGCAATGTCCGGATTATTGTCAATTCCAAAGAATCGTACTTTAGAGCTTTAAATATCATTGAACTGCCTCGAACTCGAAAACGAACAAATAGGTATTTTATTTATCTGTCCCGAAGCGAACACGCTAATAAATCTCCTTATGGCGAGAATCCTAAAGTGCTGATATTAAAAATTATGACGATCGCTATAAAATTATGTAGGTAAATAAAACTTTTAACAATTTGCATATTTTCTCATAGTATTTTTTTTACTACTATAAATCTTTTTTACTACTATCGTTCTCTGAATTCCTTGCCCAACTTTGCTATATAGACCAACCTGTCCATCAGTATCTCTTGATACGCTAAGGTCAAGAGTTTGATCTCCGTCATCAGATCCACTTCCATCCTCCTCTGGACCTTGAGATCTGTTGAACAGCCTCATTGATTGCTGGTTTATGATTTGTAGAGCTCTTTGCCTGAAAATGATTTCAGTGTTAGTTACAAGTTCCAGTTTCAGGCTATAATGAGAGATCAAATCTATTCGAGTATACCTCTGAGCCTCAATGTCGTTATCAGGGGTTTTCGGTGGTGTGATGTTTGTGGAACCCTCATCTTCAGTAGCTGATGAGGATCTTCTCATACTCCTGTCAGTACCATCTTCCATTCCAGAATCATGCCGCCTTTTCAAACCTAAAGGCAGTTGCGTAAATGGTTTACCTGTAAAGTAAATATAATTTAAGCCACCATCAAAAACAAATAAATACAATGATTACGTTGTAAATTTTACGGTCGTAAAACTAAGAAGATTATTGTCATCTATTTTATTATAGTGTGAAGTTTTTTGCGTTTTATAAACTCACCTTGGAGAGCTTCTAAAGCTCTGATCTGTCCACTGATAGCATCAGCGACTTCATTAGAAGATAATCCGTATATTCCGAGTAGTTCCTTCATGGTGTTCATGGCGTAATCTCTTAATATTCTATTTGTAGCATTTGATGCGTCACCATTCTGTTGAGTCTCATTCGTTTCCATCTGCTCCTGGTTTTCCTCTAATCTCTCATTTGCATTTATATCTTGACCCTTATCTTCGTCAGAGTCTGAGTCCCTTCTTCTTGGCGGTGAGTTAGTCTTTATTAATTGAGATATAGCAAAAGGATTTTTGGCACAAAACGTCTTATTTTGTAAATTACTAAAGTTTAGGACTGTCCGATCTCTCTCGGCGCCCTGGTTTATTTGTAAACTATGTATGTACGAATGTTGAAACGAGTCTACTTTCTTATCCTCCGGTAACCTATTTTGGTAATTTGAGTCTATGTTTTCATTGGAGTCAGTGCTCAGTCTTCTGCTTAGGTCAACTGCACCACCTTTTAGGAGACTGAAATTTTTGACACCAATTTTAGTGTAATTGCCATCGTCTTTGTCATCTTCACCGATATTTTCTGGGGTCGTTCTATCGTTTCCATTGATAGGACTGCCCGTTTCATCACAGTTCGCTCCATTGGAGTCGTCCGAAAATGCTGTAGTGTTGGGAGCACATCGTGGTTTGAAATTCTTTCTCTTGTTTCTTTTTGGCATGTTATAGTATGGGGACATGTCGGTGCTGTGCTCGTCCTGGTGGTCGGACGACTCCGGCCATGACGACGCTTCATGGTGCAGGTACAAAGGTTCCTCAGGTGCAGGCTGTAGTCTCTCGTGGATAGATTCTTGGTGAGCAGCCATCGCAGTAGTCATTGCAGTATTTGGACTCTTTCGAGGATCACAACCTGAAACGAGTCCGTCCTGCGAAGACAAACGAACACGTTCAGTTTTATATAAACAATCAAATTTAAACTCAATACATTTTAGCGTCCAATCATAACAGTGATTCATTTTCGTTCAATTTAAATTGAAACAATGTGTTGAGAAGAAACAATAGTCTTTTGTTGACAATAAGATTAGCTGAATACTGTGGAATGTTTTGAATTTAAATTTTCTCTTCATTGTTTGGAAATAATAAAATTGATTATTAGTACATTTTGTTGTTACCTGGGGAGAAACTTCATGGACCTATCATTTCCTAATTGGCTTAGTAATTATTTTAATCAGTCTTCAAGATCAGCCAATAAACTGTGCATTATCTGAAACAAAAAAAGCCTCGTATAAGTAAATATGGTAAGAGCTTAAAAACTAAACAAGTTTGTTCCAAAATTGAGTAAAATTACATATCACGGATATAAAATATACGATAGATAATGTGGTCTAGTCATTAATTTCATATTATTACTATAAAATTACTTTTATAATGAAATAGACGCTAAAAATCAGCGCTGACACGGAACGTATTAAAGCAAAAAATTCTTCAAACACCAAAATTTCGCGTAAACCAATTTGTTGTTCAAAAAACGTTCCGTTTTCTGTCCGTATTGACGTAATACGCTGTAATTTAAAAATAATTATACGAAAAAAAATCCACATCAAGTAACACGCATCGATCAAGTGAGTCGGTATGAAATTAATTATATTCAACATATTAGATCTATTTTCGAGAAAACGAGATTGCTCGGAGCGAGGCGAGAAAAAAAACGTGTATTCATGTCGAAATTGGTAACGTGGTTTAGGTGTACAATTACTTATTAAAAACTAATACAAAGATACGGCCTTCGTTCGTGGGTCACACAATAACTATCGATCTCTCGTTAAAGTAAGTGGGACGTCTCAAAATCGGTGTGTTTACCCTACTTTTTGATTTCGGCCGTTGACTTTAAAACGTTTGGATCTCAGTTACACGTCTGATCGCTGTAATAAGTAGCCGACAAGTAATTGGATGAGTTATTTTAACTTTTGCCGTTAAGTTTGTGGTCTTTTGACTGGTTTGATGTATGTGAGGAGCGAGTTAGAAAGTAGATTGTCGATTGATATAAATAAATTCTTGTTGAATTATTTTTCAATTGAATTTTTTACATTGAACACAACTTGTTACTATGATTGAATATACTTATATTTTAACATGTTTGAAGTAAAAGTTAGAGTCAAAAGCTATGTCCAATTAGTCTTGTTTTCACATGAACCGAATAATAAGTACATGTCTTAAAAACATACGAAGAGTTGACAGAAAAGTTTCCAAGCTGTGTAGATATTGCCGGTTTTAACATTATAATAAGTGAATGATCTAATAACAGAGCACATGTTTTTGAATTATTATCATAAAAAATCATCGTCAATGTCTGTTCAAATCATTAGGTTAAATGAACACGAGTTTTGAAGCTTCGTTATGGAGAATTAATGTTTCTTGTAAATAGATTTTTGCTATTAATTAATGTTGAATGTGTAGGTAATAGGTATCGGAATTTGGTATTTTAGTATTTCGGTTAGTTTCAGAATGACTGCCACGTAGGCCAAGTGTGACTGCTGGGCTCGATTAACGGGTTGGGCAAAGAATTACTAGGTTTTAAAAAAAAAGGATCAATAGTAGCACGGAGTCTGGAAATGTGCCCGGTATATGGCAATAGGCGCACCCCTATTACATGGGCCTCATAATATAAATAGTGAAAAGTGGGTGTTACATTGTACAGTGGTATTAAGTACCGTAATGTGGACCTCTGCCTACCATTTCGGGGATAAAAGGCATCGATGTTATGTTATGTTTCAGAATAACATATTACACAAGTCATCGAACATTTTAGACGAAGCTTTAGTAGTGCTTATCGTGGCTCGATGCAGTTAAGTTAGGTACCTACTTATATTTTGTTTAATTACTTTTCTTTAAGAATAAAAGTATATTTAAATTAAAATAGAAATCAATTATAGATTATACTTGCAAACTGTCGTAGTTTAGTAAGCTGCTACAAACTCAAATAAAAAAAATATTGAAAAAATTACAGTGGTCTGTGTTTTAAACCTCTTAAGCTTCGTTTGTTTGTTTTATTTCGTTTCAATAAACCCAATGTTAAAGTTTTGACAGGTAATAAACCGAGATTTACGTCAGACTAAAATCATTAGTAATTCATTTGCGTGGTTCTAATGGAGGTATTAGTCAAAAAAATCTTGTTTTTTACCTCTTTACCTCAAAATTGTTAATCATAGGTTTTTCCAAAATACATAGTTTTTGTTCTACTTAATAAATAAACAGAAGATTAAGAGGAAGAAAATTTTGATTGTTTATTTGTTTGCATAGAGCAAGCTTTAAAAGTACTAGACTGATTTGGCGAAGTTTTACACCATTGGTTGTACAGCTTACATTTATGGAGTACCATAGACTACAAATTTTATATCAATATTCTTACACTTAAAATTCCATACAGACAAGCGTAGGCTGAAAGCCACACTTTGCACTAATATTTGTTAATTTTACTACACGACCGATTAAAGGTACCTTTACCCTACACTAGGCATGCGACACTGTTGACAGTTGTAAATTATCGATGTCATGTGACGTCTAGAGACGGGATATTATCGATATGTCGATCTAAGACTTTCCAAAATTGATATTTGTGATACGTTTGTCGTAACAATGGACGCAATGTTTAGTAACTTGTTTTAAAAGTTTAAAATATTGTTGTTACCGTAGGCGTACAATGTTATATAATCAAGGTTTTTGTAGACAATGTTTAACTTATTGGCAATTGTATTGTATTAAGTTAAGAAGTCATAATAATATTTGATAATTCGGGTATTTCCTTGAGACATAGGAACTATTTTCGCCACCCTTTACAGGTGTGATGAACAAACACATCACATAACATCAAGCTTTTTATCCCCGAAGGGGTAGGCCACTATACCTACAATGTAACACCTACTTTTCATTTTTTTATGTTATGAGTCCCATGCAATAGAGGGTGAGCCTGTACTATACCGGGCACGATTCCAGACTCCGTGCTACTACAGATAAATTTTATTTAAAACGCAGTAATCGAATCCGGGAATCGAACCCAAGACCCCTTGCCCGGCATTCGCACTTGAAACCACTCGGCCAAGGAGGCAATCAACATCTAAATAAGGATTCCAAATAAATAACATAACGTAGACATAATCTTGAACACTAACAATAATAATAAATTAACTAATTTACAATCAATACTCAAACAACTGGCTTTTATTACTCAATTCAAATGAGGTAATCGACCACAATACGGTTTTCTCTTACTCATATCATAACGCCATAACATTACGAGGATCAGCAGTTTTGAAGGGTCTCCAATGTCCTTAAGACGACAAAAGTAAAACAATCATGGATGTTAACAGCCACTTTAAAGGTAGCACACACCCATTTTGGATACAGCCTTCGAAGGAACAATATCCAATAATAACAATAAAACGATCGCAGTTATGCGCGCGCGCATTATTAATATTGATCGGGATTCAATATGGCGGCCAAGATGGCGTCGCGAATAGCGGAAACGGATTAAATTGAAATCTAGATTGGAATCTAGTTGTTTGTTTAATGATTTAATTTAGATTGTGATGATGGTGGAAAAAAAAATATCTTTTGTTTGGTTTTGAAGTTGTGATAGTCGTGGTAGGCTGTCGGATGCTATGGGGGGGTAAACTTTCGACTTGACTAAAGACAGCTTACAGCGTTAAGGTTAGAAGTTCTATGGTCTAAGTATCTGTTCTGACTCCGGATACAGTATTGGAATATGTATCAGAGACATTGTAGAACATACTTTTTTTTAAAAGAGTAGGTACTCTTTTTTTATAGGTATAAAGATTCTTGCTCGTTCTTCTCCATTGGAATCTACATTTTGAAATGAGCACCTAGCTTCACCTAGCTTCGCTGACGGATTGTCTGACTGACTATTATTTTTTTGTATTTGTTAACGTTTCAAAAGTACCAAAATATAGTTTAATTGAAATAAATGCTTTGATGTGTCCTATCGAATCTCCAAGTAAAATTAATATGATTGTGGTACAATCGATCTCCTTAAAAGTACCCTTAACTCTTTCAGTCACACTTTTAACTGGTTACGAATATATTTTATTCAATTATACAGAAATGCTTAAAAACCAATGCAAAGTAATTTGAAGCATACTTCAAAAATTGAATTTCTAAGAAAAGGTGGTTAGTTACAGTGACCACCAAGACTGAAAGAGTTAACCGACGAGCATGCATGAAAAGACTGATGACTGTTGATGAAGCGAAAGAGGTATGTAGGAATCATAGCAATTGGCGTTCCATAGTCTCTGCCTACCGCGGAGGATTTAACAGGTAGCCGGGGCTCCAGCTTGAAGGGCAGGAGTAGGAACGGGGTGGTTTTTAATCAGGAAGAGTCTGACATTCCCTCCCCCCTCACCTAGGCGGGAGCAGATTCAATGATTTTCGCCCCTTAAAAATATAGTCTCTGCCTACCTCCATGGAATATCCTATATAGTCCTATATATGTACAACCGATCTCTGTCTAAGTAACTAATATTAAGTTGGTACGCAATAAAAATATTATGTCACATCAGTTAAGCTCTTCGGGGAACAATAAACTAAGCATTGTATTAATATACAAGCCTAAATAAAGTACAATCGAAATTGTTTTAAGATCTCTACGCAGTGACACGGGGCAAGGACGCGAAATGTCGCAATTAAAAACTCACTTTTCTCATTAAACCCAAATAAAAGATAACAAAATCTTATTCTACCTTATCTTTCAATCGTAATTGTGAATAATAAGAGAATGCCAAAAGCCTCAGTTTCAAATCTATTTCAGTTTAATTATAATTCTTGACCTATGACATTGGTTTTGTGAAATTTGAGTCCTATTTAAACGGCTTTAGAATTTATATTGGGATAAACAATAGCTTTTGATTGCGTTTATTTTGTAATAGGTACGTAGTTTTGAAAATAGAATTGCATTGTCTATGTGTTGAATTAAAAAGTAAATGTGATTTTGTTTTTTGTGATTTGTGTATCTAGTTGATAAATGTGTAACTTATATTTATAAAACAAATTTAAAAAAATAATTTGAACTACATCAACTGCTTATAAGTGGCCATTGCTGACCTAAAGCCTCTTCTCACACGGAGAAGGTATGACCATTAATCACCACGCTTGCTCAATGCGGGTTGGCGATATCAAACTTATAATTAGAAATTAAAAGCCAGGGTAGTTTTTCTTCACCGTTTATCAGTGGTATCTAAATCTTAGAAAGTA